ATCTAATAAATAAAAGCTTCCTCGATTTTTCTCGTTCTAGATCTTGCATCTAGCCTATCACCATCTGACTTCTTGTTCTTGGGACTTGCAGTAGTGGTCTGTCATCTTACTTGAGCATCTTGGGTTAGTCAGCCCTTGCCACAATATGTGTGAGTCAGGAGATGCTTCCCACCTGACTTCTGGTCCATGGACTTGTGACTTATCAGCCTCTACAACTACATGAGACAGTTATTTGGCATAAATATCTTAATGTCCATGTATGCTTCACTGGGTTTGCTCAGCCTAAATCCTTAAAAAGGACGCCGATGACTCTGCTAATCCATCAGATGGCATCAGGTGGCAACATCAATGTGCAAAATATCACCACCAGTAAATCAAGTATTGGTGAGAAATGAGGCTATAGATGTCATGTCCTTGATACTTTTCTACAATATTGTCAGAATGACAAATAGAAGGAAGTGGGTTGGTTCTTACATTAGAGGAAGTTGTAAGGAAGAACTCAAGGCTTTGGAGTCACAACTTAAGCACTGCATTAAAGTTCTCAAAATTTCTAATTGTGCCCAGATTTAAAGTTTTTCTAATAGTAGAAGAGCTGATTTTGTTTTTCTTTTCAGAAAAATGGACTGAGAGTCTTATAAGAGTGACTGGATTTTATTATCTGAGATAAATACTTCAAAGGAAGGCCATTGATTAGGAAGAAATGAGATCCTGAAACTTGATTCACCTTGAGTTGATTTTTATTTGTGGTGTGAGATGTGAATCCTGCTTGCAGGTAGCAGTCCAGTTTTGCCAGCACTATTTGTTGAAGAGGTTATTAATTCCCATTAGATAGGTTTTGTTTCCTTGTTAAATGTCAATTGATCATAGATAGATGGTTTAATTTCTGTGTTTTCAGTTCTGTTCCATTGATCTATGTGTCTGTCATTGTACCATGAGCAATCTCTTCCTGTACAATTACAGCCTTTGGAAACGCACTGGATTGTAACTATGAGTAGATTCTGACTTGACAGTAAATAGCAACAACAATCAAGGACCTGAAGGATACAAAGGTGATGATTCCCACAGCATTCCCATTTGATTAATCTATTTGGCCTCTGCAAAACACTGTTGAACCTTGAAGAATGACAATGGATCACTGGAACTTAACCAGGCGATGACTCTAATTACAGCTGTTGTTCAAGATGTGATTTCACTATTTAAGCAAATGAATAGATCTCTAGGTGCCTGAAATGCAGATATTAATCTGGCCAATCCTTTTTCTCCATTCTAGTTTCAAAGGATCATCAAAAGCAATTTTCCTTCTTTTGGAAAGGCCACTTATATTGTCCATTCTCCAGGTGTATAAATCCCTAGCACTAAATATCATAGTTTAGTCCATAGGGGCCTAGATCACATTTTCTTTTCACAAGACATCACACTAGTCCATCATATTAATGACAGTGTGCTGATTGGACTTAGTTAGGAAGAATGACTCCACACTCATTGGTAAGATATTTGCTTGAAATAGGGTGTGAAATCAACTTGACAAAAAATTTCATGCCTTCTACCTCAGTAAAATTCATAAGGATCCATCACAAAATCCTAGCCAATAGAATCCAAAAGTACATAAAAAAAATAATTCACCATGACCAAGTGGGATTCATAACAGGTATGCAAAGATGGTTCAACATAAGAAAAACAATCAATGTAATTCACTATATTAACAAAGTCAATAACAAGGACCATAAAAATCTTAGCAATTGATGCAGAAAAGACATTTGACAAAATCCAACACCTTTTCCTGATAAAGACACACAGCAAAATTGGGATAGAAGGTAATTTCCTCAACATATTGAAAAGTATATATATGCAAAACCAAGAGACAACATCATTCTCAATGGAGAAAGACTGAAAACATTCTCCTTGCAAACAGGGACCAGACAATGATGCACACTGTCATCATGTCTTTTCAATATTGTATTGGAAGTGCTTGCTAGAGCAATATGACAAGAGAAGGAAATAAAAGGCATCTAGATTGACAAAGAGATGGTTAAATTGTCACTATATGCAGATGACATGATAGTGTACACAGAAAACCCCAAAGACTCAACAAAAAAACCATCAGAGTTAATAGGCCAATTTATCATAGGATTCCTCTATAGTAATAAATAGAACTCAGAGAAGGAAATCAAGAAAACAATACCATTTACAATAGCCAATCACAAATTGAGACACATGAAAGTGAACCTAACTAGAGATACAAAAGACCTGTACAGATACAAAAGACCTATACAATGAAAATTACAGAGCATTTCTAAAAGACCTAAAGAAATGGAAAAATGTTCCCTGTTCATGGATAGGAAGGCTCAATATTGTGAAAATGACAGTCCTACCAAAAGCAATGTATATGTTCAGTGAAATCCCAATCCAGATACCAAATTGATTTTTCAAGGAGATTGAAATGGAAATTATCAAATTTGTTTGGAGAGGCAAGAGACCCTAAATATGCAAAACACTTCAGAGAAACAAAAATGAGGTTGGAGGCATAGCACTCCCTGACCTCAAAACCTATTACACAGCAGTTATAACCAAAAAAACCCCCAATCCAGCATGGGACTGGTACAATGACAGGCACATAGACCAATGGAACAGAATTGAGTACCCAGAAATAGACCTGGCTATATTCAACAAGGAAATCAAAGCTACCAAATGGGGAAATGATAAACCTCTTCAACAAATGATGCTAGCAAAACTGGACTTCTGCTTGCAGAAAGCTGAAACAGGATCCACATTTCACACCATACAAAACAGTCAACTCAAGGTAGATCAGAGACCTAGAAGTAAAGCCCAAAACAGTAACGTTCACAAGAGACAAACTGGGATAAAGCTTAGAAGTACTAGTCCAGTGTATCAAGAGACTGCCAAATACAACCAGAAATGCACAATCTGAACAGGATAAAATTGATGCATGGGAACTTCTTGGTTAGATACATGTGTGCATCAAAAACTTTTTCCAACAGAGTGAAAAGAAAACCTACAGACTGGGAACAAACATTTGGTAATGCCGTCTCAGACAAGAGTCTTCTAACAAAATTTTACAGAATACTCCTGGGCCTCCACAAGAAAAATTACACCCAATTACAAAATTAGCAAAAGACATGGAAAGAATTTTCACACAAGAAGATATTCGAATGGCAAAAACACACATGAAGAACTGCTCCAAATCACTGGCATTAAGAGAGATGCATATCAAAGCCACAATGAGATATCATCTCACTCCACTCACAGTGACAAAGTTTAACAGGTAACAAGTAATAAATGTTGGAGAGGATGTGGTGAGAGAGAAACTCTTAAATATTTTTGGTGGGATTGTAAAAATGGTACAATCATTCTGGAAGGCAATTTGGTGCTTCCTCAGAAAGCTGGACATAGAAATTCCATATGACCCAGCTATTCCACTACTTGGAATATTGTTGTTGTTGTTGTTGTTATGTGCCGTTGAGGCGCAGGCAACTCATAGTGACCTTATATACTCTGAGAAAATGAGAACTGAGGCACAAATGGAGATTTGTACACCAATGTTAATAGCAGCATTATTCACCATTGCAAGAACATAGAAACAGCCCAAATGTCCAACCACAAATGGATGGATTGAGAAATTATGGTACATTCACACAACGGAATACTATGCAACATGCAGGAACAATGATTTTGTAAATTATTACCTAACTTGAGAGGGACTGGAGAGCATTATACTGAGTGAACTAACTCAGTCCCATAAGCATATATTTTGTATGAAATGATTATAGTAGAATGAAACAGGATCCAAGAGGCGTAGGAGAGGAAAGAGATGAGGATGTGAAGCGGGGAATTAATCATGGAGTTGCACAATTTGGGGTGGGGGTGAGGGAAATTGAAAGACTATATTCTCTAAAACATTGTATTTGAATTTTGTAAATAAACTAGTGTAAAATTAAAAAGAAAAATTATAAGGATCCAGTGATGTGTCAAAATATTCCTCCTAAAATAAAGGATATAGATAAATATTTGCTACGAGTCATAAAAATGTCTTGGACTTTAATAAGCAGATAAGGTGGAAGAATGTTCCTTGGTGGTATGGTATGGTTAAATGTTCTACTAGGATACTAAAAGATAAATAGATCAGTGGTTCAAACCCATCAGCTGCTCTGTGGAAGGAAAGAGGTGGTGATCTGCTTCTGTCACAATCACATCTTGGAAACTTGTAGAACAATTCTACTCTTACAGGATCACTATGAGTCAGAACTGACAATGGCAAATGGTTAAGGTAAAAGAAGAGAATGTAGAGTCAATAGTAAAAGATACCTTGAAAAAGCATTTGAATACCAAAACCTGCTTCGTCATTGTATTCCAGTTTTGCTTAATTAAGTGAAGATTAAGGGCAATACTCCATACATGGCACATAGTAATAATTATTATTAATTAATAGATGATGGTGGTGGTTGTTATCAGAGAGAAGAAATTATATTTTTTCTTTGCTTCTTCTCTGGGAAAAACCAAAAAAGACTTCAGTTTCTTTTTTTTTTCTTCACTTTTAAAAAATTAATTTTAATGGAAGTTTACAGAGACTTAGGGTTTCCAGTCGTTCATTGTTTCACTTTTTTCCCTGCCCACTTCAGTTTCTTTTGTATAGCAATGAAACATAGATAAATATTTCAGAAGTACCTTTATGCTTACAATTGCCCAAATGGAGTGTGTGTGTGTGTGTGTGTGTGTGTGTGTGTGTGTGTGTGTGTGGTGTGTGTGTATTAATCAAGGGAGCTCTGGTAGCTTAAAGGTTAGGAACTGTGTGGCCAACCCAAAGGTATGTAGTTCAAATCCACAAGCTGCTCTGTGGGAGAAAGATGGGCAATCTCTTCCCCTGTGATTTCACTGCCTTTGAAAACTCACTGGAGGGTCAGCTGTGGGTAGGTTCTGAATGGAAAGGACATAACAACACCTTTGTTAACTGCTGTCTTGTACTATTGACTATTTCAGCCAATATGACTGCCAAAGATGGTCCTTCATTGTGGGGCTTTGGAACAACAAAAACATTTAAAATTCCCATTGAACATTTGGATTTCAAGTATATTGAAAAGTGTTCAGATGTTAAACACTTGGAAAAAATTTTTTATGTGCTCAGGTAAGCATTTAAAAATTGTTTAAAAAATAGTCTAATGAATTAAATTATATCACAACTGCCTTCTAAATATTAAAAATTAAAGGTTACATTAAAATATTGGAGATGATTTTCAAATGATCAGGCTGTCCTTGTCTGTATTAGGTTTCAAAATAGTAGTTGTACTCCTGTGATTAATCTTTAAATTTTTTTATGTTTACCTTAAATATTTTATTATGCTCCTTAGGATTAATTTCCATATTTTGCCTGTACAATATCAAGAAAATAAATAACTATAATAATGTAGGGAAATAAATACAAATGTTAATTGATATTTAAGGGCTGACTTTGACATACAGGATTCTTTTCCTTTTTTTTTTTTAATTTGGTACAATATATGCAACAAACAACAATGAATGAATGGAAATCCAAAGCCTCTGTAAATTTTCATTGAAATTAATAACAAATTTAAATTTAAAAAAATAATTTAGAGTAAGGATGGCAATGGATTTATAACTGCTCAAGCTAATAACATTGTATCATGGCATGGAGGAGGAAGAGTGGAAATGTATCCATATTTACAACATTCCTCTTACCAAAGCCATTTATGGAAAATAGGTACTGCATTGGAACATATATCTCTGGATTGGAAAGGATGATATTGTTAATACTTCTAGCCTGAATCTTAAAAGATTATAATATTCAAAATTGTTTGTTATACATTTGCTTAAATTTTTCCCTCTTTTAACAACTGGGATCTAGAGGGAAGAGAAAAGACCAG